GATTGTTGATTTTCTTTATTGTGCTGTGACTCAAAATTGACTTCCTCTATTGTCAATGAAAACACTTCTGGTTATTTCTACGTTATTTTTACATTATTAGACACATACCTTCATGTTGCCTTTTCCTGTAGACGTGGAATCAGTTTGTTTATTGTTTTCAAGGAATAAGAGAATGTATAAGAAACAAATAAACATGACCACCTGCTCTATAAGATTTTTTTTATGCATCTCACGTTGTCTTCATGTCCTTCATACATTTTCCTTTAGTATGTTGCATAATAGTATGTAACAATATGAGAACAGCACCACCAAGGCTGGAGGCGGAGCAATATTGGAAAAGCACATGGGAGAAGGACGCAGCCCATAACGGTAATGCTCAATGGCTCGTGAATCTAAGAGCAGACCACAGCAAACTCCCTGAACAAGGTACAGTAACCATCACAGTGGCAAACATTCAAGAGAAGGTCTCCAGTAGTAAGAGCTAGACAGCACTAGCCCCCGACATGAGTCGCGCTTACTGGCTGAAGAAGCTGACGGCACTCCATGAGCATTGGGCAGCACAAATGAACCAGCTGCTAGTTGATGAGAGACACCCAGAATGGCTTACTGAAGGCCAGACAGTCCTGATCTCCAAGGACCCCCAGAAGAGAACTTTCCCATCCAACCACTGGCCAATAACCTGCCTCAGTACCACATGGACGCTGCTGTCAGGCATCATAGCAGCTAAGAAGAACAATACATGAGTGGGGGGACAAAAAGGAATTGTCAGGAATACCGGTGTTCTGGGAATCCATCCTACCTGACAAACCATCCTACCCGTTGTTTCTACGCATGCGCGCAACACGAAATTCAGTGGCGAACCGTCTTACCTTTGTGAATATAAGCTACAAACATACTCTGACGGGTAAAATTATGTGCCAAACCGTCCTACCTTTGTAAAAGTGATGTACAAGCATACTTTAACAGCTATAATTAAGTGGCAAATCGTCCTACCTTTGTTAATATGGGCTAGAAGCATAATTTTACAGCTAGAATTCAGTGGCAAATCATCTTACCTTTGTTAATAAGAGCTAGAAACATACTCTGACGGGTATAAATACGTGCCAAACCATGCTACCTTTCTGAATGTGACCTACAAGCATACTTTAACAGGTAAAATGAAGTGGCAAACCATCCTGGCTTTATGAATGTGAGCTACAAGCATACTCTGATGGGCAAAGTTAAGTGGTAAACCGTCATACCTACTTACGTTTGTGCTGGAATTACTGTGTGACAGCAGAAATGTGCATAAACTACTTACGGTAGGACGTTTTGCCAAAGTAGGACGTTTTGTCAGAACAGCGGAGGAGTGAAAGACCAGGTACTGGTAGACAGGGCAGTGTGGACTAGGCTGACCAACCTGAGCACTCCCTGGAATAATTACAAGAAAGCCTATGACTCGATGCCCCACACCTGGATCCTGGAATGCCTGGAACAGTACAAGATCAACAGGACCCTAAGAGCCTTCATCAGGAACTCAGTGGGGGTGTGGTGGACAACACTAGAGACCAACTTCAAGCCCATATATATATATATATATATATATATATATGTATATATATATATATACACATATACCGAGCCACCTTTGGCAGATGTATCAGCTGAACACACACGTGGCATTCTTTCTACATTCTTTTCTACTTCAGAAAGCTCTCCCCATATCTGTTGCTTTCACTCCAGTTCATCCCAAAGCAGGTCAATGGGGTTTAAGTCTGGAGACTGTGCTGGTCACTCCATGTTTTCAAGCTTACCAGCTTGTTCTTTTTTTCCTAAGGTAGTTCTGGCATAGCTGGGTCTTATATTTGGGTCATTATCTTGCTGTAGAATGGACCCCTGACCAACTAGGCACATACCAGAGGGTACTACATGGCGCTACAGAAAGTTGTGGTAGCTGTTTTGGTTTAGGGTGCCTGTCACTCTGTACAAGTCACCGACCCTGGATCCAGCAAAACAGCCCCAGACCATCACACTTCCTCCATGTTTAACAGTTGATGCCACACACTGTGGAACCATCCTTTCACATACTTGACGGCGTACAAATCCTGTGTGATGAACCGAAGATTTGAAATTTTGATTCATCAGTTCATAATACCTTCTTCCAGTCTTCAGTATCCCAATGGCAATGTTTCATGGCCCAGGGAAGCCTCTATGTCTTATTCTGACATCTTAGCAATGGCTTTATTCCTGCAACTTGTCCTGTCAAACCTACAGCTTGAAGTCTTCTCTTCATTTTTTATCTTTTTTTGCCTGTCCCGTTTGGATCTTTAGCCATCAGAATTGTTGTCTGAAGGCCAAGAAAGATGCCAAATGGATTTACTTTACCAAGTGGATCATCATGGCCTTGCCATATTGGTCCATTTGATTGACCTTTATTATAATTATGTATTTATTTTATTTTATTTTTTTAAAGACGGGACAGACATGACTAGCTCCGCCGGCAGCCAGCTGTGCCAGAGTGACCGAGCCCCAGGCCGAGAGGCCGAGGGCACCCCACCCCCGAAGTGGCCCGAGCGAGCCCCAGGCTCCAGACCTCTTCCTGTTTGAGTTTGCCCCAGTTTCTGAGTGCCTTTTGATGGTGAAGGAAACTGTACTCACTGACACCTTAACTTTCTTTCCAATTTCTCTGTAGGAAAGACCTACATTTCTAAGTGTTATGATGGTCTGTCTCTCTTCCCTTGTTATTTGCCCTTTTCTCACCATTTTTCTAGCAACGCACTACTTTCTGCAGTACAAGACAGTTCAACTGATGCTCACGAGGGTACCACAGTGTGTTCCAGCACTGCTGTTATGCAGACAGAGGGGGTTGTAAGTGATCCAGAAAAGTTGGAACACCTGTAGGAATTAGTAGCACGAGCTTTGAGGGCTTGATCAACCTCCATTGCTGCAGAACAACTTTAAATTGTTAACGCATTTTGTGTTCCCTGAAACAGGCCTTTTTGTATAATTCTGAAAATCTTTGACCGGTACTGCTGTCTTTGTTTATTGTGGATGTCTATATATAATCTGTGCTCTCTTTGTAATGTTAAACAGACAGCTTTCCTGAAAATAGCACAAACAAAAGAATCAGCATGAAAACCAACATGCCGTCATTCAGCTTTTAAAACAGTCATTTACTTTGGCAACATGCTGTATTTCAGTTACAAAATTAACTGATGCAGCACCATGAATGGCCTCAGTGTTCCCACTGGAAAAACATTTTCATGTAAGCAGGACCCCTCCCTCTGCAAACATTTACACATTACAGCATTACCCAAGAACTACAGCTCTGCAAATACACATCCTAACAAATAAAGGGCAGACATTGACTTTGATGATTTTTCTTTTCCGCTGCAACTACAGTGGAATCGCTCATCGTTGCTATGATGTATTTATGTTAATTCAGTAATGGTTGTATACATTGATAGAGGCTGAGTCATGGTTTATATATTCTTTTATTATCCCTTTGTCTGCAAATCCCTAAGATTGTTTTCTATGCTGTGGTTCTCGAAGAACAATATCAGAAAGACAATAGAATACAAAATAGAAGCTTTAAAATGAACAGTTGAAATGGTGAAAACATAGATATTTACTTTCTTGTGATATGACAAAAGTGATACCACTGTCATATCTGTACAGTAGATACAAAGTGGTAGATAAGCAGGAGACACGTAACTTCATTTAGCATAAAAGAAAGGCTAGTAAAGAGATGTGAAAACATTTGCTGAAATGTGATATTCCTGACAACTACTTGAACTTCAGCTACACACAGAATGTAGACTAGCAACTGGTAGAAACAGGTAATCTGGTTGGGAAAAATGTAACATACTAAGTAAGGCAAGTAACAAATGTAAACAGGTAGCTGAGCTGCACTAAACTTGAAACGCTGGACAACGAATTAGCAAAATTTCCCCACTATTTTCTTCATTTAACGAGTAGCAGGTTGAGACAACTTGATGTAACATCAATTGTGAAATTGCTTTCAATCCGCACTGATGCACTGAAGAACTGCCTTGCATATCTTATTATATATCTTATATATTAGTTTCATTCTATTTATTTTCCAGGATTTTCCAGGTATTTTTCTATGCTAGCTAATGAGCTTGTGGGTGTCCTAAATTTAAACACTGGTGTGAGCTTGGTGTCAACATGTAGCTCAGAATCTTACCAATTAACACATAATACTGTTTACTTTCAAGAAATATCTTGATTTTATAGCCCATTATGAGATCTAGCTATTACACAGCTGTGTGTTAGCGTACCAGTTTGCACTTTCACAAATGTCAAACTATTCATTTAATTGACTGTAATTTCTGCAATAATTCTAATCAATACACTAATACAAAAGGAGTAAATTAAATAAAACAGATCTTTAGTAAGTGTTTACTTCATAGCTGTTATAGCATTTTATCTTCCACATCATCAGTGTGTGATCATTACAGGCTATTTTCGTCCACTGATGATAAGTATAGCAAAACTCTGATTGTGCAGTGACTTGAGTAGCCAAGTATAGCCAACTCTGCACCATTCCAATTAGATTACCTAAACTTCAGTCTTTTCCATCCTGGGCTGTGTACAGTGAGCTTACACATTACATTTACTGTTATACCCTTAAATGGAAGAAACCTTTAGAGGCTCCTGCAGGAAGAACTGGTCGGCTGCTTCATGGCTGTGCCTTGCAGAACTTAGACAGCAATTAGGGGGCCAGTTCAGGACCTTAGACTTCATCTCTATATACATTAGTGTGTAAGTCAGTCACAGAGTGTTATCTCTGTTAACCTCAGCACCTTATTCTTTTACCTGGTATCCATTAGTAGGTTTTCTGAATGCTCTGACCTAGCCTAGCATTAGTCCCAATTTATTCAAAAGAGTTGCATATTATTTTTAGTCACAATTGAGTTTCTTGTCAACATAAACTAAGACTTTATTACGTTTTTCC